CCCTGCTTCCTCCAATCTGACCAGTGCACCTGACTTGGACACCCACACAACACTCTTGTATCTATGGCAACAGAATGAGGTCACGCATACAGCTTTATGACTTCACTGCAGAATCAAAGTTGAGGAGAGTTTTGGGGATATGGGAGGAGCAGCAGAAGCTGCCTGAGCCCTAGTACAGTGAATCCTAATTAGAGTGTAGGGATTTAAATTAGCTAGCTCATAACAGATCTTAATACATTCTGAAACCTACTAGGATTGTCCCTCCAGGCTGTCACTGCTTGACCTTTCATTCCGTCAGCAGATTAATAGCTTTGGGGAAACTGAAAGATTTGGCCCTTTGTAAGAAAATGATAGGGCTCTGAAAATCTGGTGTGTAGCCTCTACCTTCTCCTTAATCAGAACATGGTTTAAGGAAAAATACTTGAAAAGGATCATTTTTTTCAAATGTAAATCCATTACTTCATTGGGCATCTATGGAAATGTAAAGAAAAGCCAGGAATTCTAACAGTGCTGTGCTGGAACATTATATGGAAAAAGGGCCCAAGGGCCAGAAAGAATAATATCAGGATACATGCTTATTCTTACTTGTCTATTCAATCAGGCATGTAAAAAGCCTTCATCTCTCTTTCAGACCTCTATGCTCAAAAAAAAAAAAAAGACTTCTGAGAGTATGCAGCATATGTACTGAATCCTTGCTCACTGCATTGGGCAACTGAAAAGAAAAAAGAACAACCTAGTTTTAAGGCTGCTGAAACCAAATACTTAGTTTAATTGCTGGTCAAACTGTAATAAGGCATGCATCTGCTACTACTGAGGCAGAGGTCATCAGTTCCCTGGTGGTGATATTTAAGCCTGTGGAGAGTAGTGGAGATAACCCTTGGTACTACATACTACCCCAGTGCCAAGATAGACACAGCTATTAAACATTGGTTCATTAATTAAAAGCAGCAAACACACTGCCAATACACTGTGCCAAAGCAAGCAATATTAGAGAGGTTAGATGCTAAGGCTGACATCTGCCACTGCTCTTCCCAGAGAAGTGGTATGGACCTTTCTGAAGTTTTGACTTCAGCTATATTGGGGGGGTGAACCGGGGACAGACTGTGATGATGGATCTCTGGAACTAATGAAACTGGAAGTTGCAGCTGTGCTTCTGGACTGATGTGGAGCTTAAGTCAAATCTGCCCTGGCCACATGATGACAGGTCCTTGAAGCAGTCTTATAAAAATATGAAAAGGTGAGCTTCTTTCACCCGTGTAAAAGTGGACATATAGTGAACATCTGTCAGGGATATGAGCTCTTCCAAAAACAAACAATGTATCAGTTGCTGAATCACACTGGCAATATGTTAAGCCGGAACAGTTAAAATGATACATCCTTAAGACTCAGTCCTGGGGAAAATTAAGGGAGGTAAAGAACCAACACAGGCAAAAACTTGCCAAACTACTTCTAACTGCTCTATTTACAATGAAAAGAACTGTGTACAGATAGAGATATTGAGAAGTGTCATAAGGCTTGTCAGGGGTAGTCAAAAAGTTGCTGAACAGTTGGAGGAACACAACCCTTTAACTGTCAGTACAGGAGCGTGACAATGCTCCAACCCAACTGCCACTGCGGGCCAAGAGATTGATCTTGACCCTAACACCAACTTGTATGTGTGCGTATGTGTCTGCACATTTTGGGGGAGGGAAGGGGTGACAGATAAATATAAAATAATTTCTAACAAATTAATGCATCAAGTATAGAACTCTTAAAGACCTGAAAAAGACAAATTTTAATCTCATGCAGGAATGCGTCCATTAACTTCAAAATCAGCAACTTCCGATTGCCAAGAAGTTTAAATTGAAATGCAAGTACTCTGTATATAAAACTTTTATTAACCTTGCGGAAAGCATATTAGAAAAAAGGGCAAATGGAAAGAACTAAATTAAATTATATTTCTACATGTTTTTCTAGATTAAATTTAATCTTGTATACTTGACATTTTCATATACTTCTTGAACAAAATTTGTATGCAGTGTAAGCCTGTTAAAATTTGGATCTACTGTATATAAATCCAATCTACAGAGACTCACTGTGAAATTAATATACAGTTGGCTCAGATGAAGGATAAAAAACCCCATGACTTATGGCTAGATCAAGGCAGAGGTTCTTTTGCTAGTTAGGTTTCTGGTTCAGTGTGTGACCATAGGCAAACTCTTCAACATCAAGTTAACGCAGCTGTAAAATGGCAGTAAAATGGCATACATATCTACTGTATGAAGACTTCTGTGAGACACTGTCACAAAGCTAAAATCTTTCAGCAAAAAGTGCTATGTGTCCTTTTTTCACATCAGAGCATAATAAATAGTACCAGAGAACACTGAGCCCAATTTGTCAGTAGCCAGCTTCCTGAAAGTTACACAAAAAATTCAGCTTGGCTCATTTTGTCAGAATCAGCAACAGCTATCATTTGAAAACATAACAGTGTCATCTAAAAGCAATCAGTAACTGAGCAGCTGGAAATATGAAGTTTTGCAGATTTTACAACAGAATTAATTTTACATTAACAAAACACATCTGTAAAGGAAAAAGTCAGACAACTTAATGGAAAAGAAAAATAACACATGTTTCAGATTTTGCCCAAGATTTCTAAGACATGTCGCCATACAGTGAGAAATGACTTACCGCATCATTATATTTTCCCTGCTGTATATAAGATCTTGCTTTTCTTAAAATGTCAGTCTGTTCAGAATCTGAAAGTAATCTAGAAAAAAATTAAAATATATAATTTAAAAAACATACTTATGATGAGAGCTACAATGACGTAGAATTTTTTGAGCCTCGGACTAAATTTCAAGGGATCTGTTATTTAGCGTATTACATATGCCAAAGACCCCTAAGCAATTTCAAAGTATTGGGTGTCTGGATCCATTTGGCGCTCTCCATTTTCACCCACACTGTTTTTGAAACAGGATCTCAAATTCTTTTCCTTCACTGAAGGCAGCCACACAACTTTGTAGGCAGATATATATATCCTGCACCACTTGTAACCTATGCTATCATACTAACCATAATTCATGGCTGGGAGCAGCAAAAAACATATACATCAGCAATACTTCAATTGTCTTATGAATGTACTACAGACATCTTTAGATTACAAACCCTTCAAGGGATTAAAAAAAAAGTAGTATTTGCATAATATCCATCATAATGAAGCTTCAATCACAACTGCAGCCTTTTGGCTCTGTACAAATAAAAAGCCAGGATGAGCAACCTTTTCTTTAGGGAATTTGCATTTATCTAGTCCACTCAGTAACTGGAATCCTGTAATTGTGCCCAAAATAAGTGCAAAGTCCTGGCTCCCATGAAGCAAACTCCAAAACTCCCAGTGACTTGAACAGGAGGCAAATCATCAAACTAAGCCTTTCCAGAATTCCTCTCAAGTGAGAACGCACACACACAACAAAAGCAAAAATAAAGGATGTGGGAAGAATAGGGTCTTGTGCCCCCATGGGGAAGATAAGCATTAACAGATCAAAGAGCTTTTGTGCCCAGCCATGGAATCACCCTCTCTGGTTCAATCACTCTGGCGTGTTGTGCCACTGCCCCTTCCCCTTCCCCCTGTCTTGTTTTTTTTAGGTGCAGTCTAACCATATCAGGAAAACTGGCTGAGTGGGAGGTAGAGGAAAATACAGGGAATTGGTACAATAAAGAAGGAGCAGAAGAAAAAGTGGTGGAGGAAAAGGGAATCACCACTTTTCATAAAATGTTTCTCTGAAAGAACATTATACAAATGTAATGATAATTTTCAGTACAAAAACATGTAGTCTACAGTGTGCCCCAAGCTGGGTGCTCACAGAATTAAAATCAGCATTTAACTGTGATCAAGCTACAGTGGAAAGACACATACTTTCTGAAAAGAAACCATGGGACAGGAGTAGTGTGCACTTGTTGATTGTGGTCACCAAAGAGAAGCTCGAGTATGTCACTCTTTCTACAGTCTCCTGTTTCCTGGTAGGGACTAGGAATTGTGTTTAAAAATATGTCTAAAACTCTTCTATATGTTTTGTCTTTTTTAAAATGCCTGTTTTATGTCTATTTTAAAGTTAATGTTTCAATGTCTGTTTTATCCTCGTTTTTCAATGCCAAAACTTATATAAGCTAAAGAAAGCATTTTTATCTTTCACCATATATCATCTCATACAGTCATTTGACTATAAAGCCTCTAATCAGTCTTTTAGTCTTGGTGAAACACTTTACTTTTAATGAAACTACAGCAGTCTTGGCCATTTCCTTGCTTCTCAAAGGACAGTTTCAGGTATAAGAAAATAAATGGCATTTTCAAGCAGTAAAGTTTCGTCAAGTCAGTGCATGAGGCAATTATTACACAGAAGTATGCAGATATTTAGATAATGCATTCATTTCTTATGGGTTAAGGATAACAATATGATAATAATTCTATTCCATGTCTATACAACTGCTTTTATAAGAGGCACCACGCTTGGGAAGGCCAGGGGGCATTGTCTATGTACAGCTTATAATGCTGTTACAACTCAAGGACTCCATATATACCTGTATCAAACAGTGTCAGCTATCCAGGTTGTAGCTATATTGGTCTAGAGCAAAAAGGAATCAGGTAAACAGGCTATTCTAACTTTTCTCTGAGCATAATATGCATAATAAAAGGAACTGTTCCAAACAGGAGATTTTACTGCACCTTCAACTCTCATATGAAATATGTACTTTCATTTCTACCTACAAGAACTTTTACAATCTTTTGTCCTATGCCTGAAGAAGAGGGTGTGTGCCCAAAACCTTGCAATTAAAGATTTTTTTTTTGCAAAAATCTAGTTGGTCTAATAAAAGATATCACCTCTACCCAATTCCTTTTGTATCTAACAGGGAACTCTATCTTGTTTGCCTTCTCTGTGGTTTTCATCCACCCTGAGCTGAGACCAGCAAAAAGAGATAGGAGAAATTCCTGCACCTAAAACAGGGCTAGCTGTGAGAGGTATTCAACTTTGCCAATCACCCTTTTATAAGGATAACTCTTGGCTGTTGCCCAGGGCAAAAAAATTATTTCCAGTCTGACTTCTGGTACGACGTAACTGAATAACAAGCCAATCACCTGGGAAGACAGAGAGGCAATAAAGTTTTAAGAGACAGGATCTCTCACCAGCCATTTGAGAGAGAAGAACTGACCAGGAGACAGGCAAAACATTGACTGCTGGAGTAAAATACTCCATGATTCAGAGAAGCTATGCACTAATCTTCTCTAATAAATACCTATCACATATTTCTATACCAGAGAACAGTGGTGCTCAATCTTTTCCCCCATCAGCCAGGCAGGTGATGCCCAGTCCAAGCTGGATCTGGAGGGTGGGCCAAATCCAGTGTGTGGGCCATGGAGAAGGATGAAAGGCAGCCTAGCCTCAATCCAGCCACAGGATGGGGGGGGGAAGGGTGCGGGGCTAGAGAATTTGGCAGTGGAAGAGAGGTGGCAGTATCAATTTGCTCCTTGCTGCCAAATTTCGTGACCCATGAGGAGCCCCCGTGGGCCAGATGTCATGGCTCAGCAGAGCAGATCTGACCTGCAGACCAGGGGTCGAGCACTCGTGCCACAGAACTGAGATTTGAATTACTGAAAATGATAACCAACAGATCACTGCACACACTTAGCAGTGTCAAGTCTTACAATCTATAATTATGTTTCCCTAAAAAAAATGTAATTTTTTTAAGCTAGCAAACAAAAACCAGCTTTCCATTTCAAAGAGGACAAGCAAGTGTCATCCAAGTAGAAACACAATTAATTATGTAACAAAACAATTGGGCTAATTGTGCAAATGCTTGTAAACTGTCCCTTATGAGATGTTAGCTACTTTCATCATGAGTATACCTGACAAAATTAATCTTTCCAGCACATCATTCACGCTTCACAAACAAGTGCTTGACAACACTAATAACATGCCTGTGTTGAAACGAAGCTACAGTAGCTGTCTCAAGGGGACTATGTCTGGCCAGTCAGCAATCCATATTTATCACCACTGAACAGAGTATACCATCCCCAACAGCACATTTCTGCTTGGGCAACATGCTGCAGTTCCCCAAATGAAATAAAATCTTAAAACAGAAGGAGGTATCTTGAGAGTACATCTGGACCTACCACTGCTAATAGGCTCATTTTATAATGTCTGCTATTGTGTAATGATTCATATTCACATTGCTATACAGTAAATTTTCCAGACTTACGCTATAAAATAGGCCCTTAGGATCCTGCAGTAAATCAATGAGATTAAAAAGGTCCTAGATTTACCAATGAATTGCAAGACAGGGGTGCATCTGCACATGCTATTAATGTGCAGCAATAAAGTCTGGCACATATCATGTTGGAGTTTATTGCTCCTAGGCGCCAGATTGAAGGTGCACCTGGGACCGCAGCACATTGACCTGGGCTGGAGCAACCCTGGCTGGCAGGGGGCCCAGGGAGTCAGCTTGCCAGACAGGGGCTGCTCTGACCCAGCTCAACAAGATGCAGAAGGGCTGGCTGGGGTACAAGGGTGCTCCAGTGCAGAGGTAGCTAGCAGACAGCCTCCGCACTGAAACACCTTCATGCTCCAGCCTGCCTCATTAATGTCTACATGTACACTGCTGAAGAGTAAAAAACTCCGTCAAAGGACAGTACTTGTATTTACACTGCATGTGTAGATGCTGAGACATTTACTGTGGAACTAATTAGGCAACTTGAAGTAAACATCTCGTCTAGATGTGCCTAATATCAGATCAGCAAACCAGATAAACACACACACCAAGAGAAAGGGTAAACTCCTTTGCAGAATCTGCGCTGCTGACACAAAAGAGTTTAAAAACGAACTTTACCTCAGTTGCTTCACACCCTCTCACATTTAATTCACACAGCCAAACAAAATTGCCTACAAAAACTGAATTCAGCCATTTCTCCCAAAGGGTGAGAACAGATTGTTAAGCTCTTCCTATTTTTAAACATATGAAGGTACTATGGAAATGAAGTTGAGCTCTGTATGCAGGTAGTCATCCTTCAGTTGACATGCTTCTTGCCATCTCTCAAGCATGGTCAGTCACCTCCTGCATTTCTACTGCTTGACCTGCCATTCTTACTTCAACTGTGGCTTTTATGGCAAAAAAACTCAAGCTAACACCTGACTTTATTGAAGGAATTACATCTGTGTAGTGTGAAAGTGTCAAACTCATATGGCCATGTAGCCCAGATGAGGTTTACTGGTCTGGTCTGCAGGCCAGATTGAGACCATGGTCCAGAGCCAACACGCTGGGCCAGTCTGGTGGGGCACTGTTTGCAGTACATGCCTTATGCTGTACATGCCTCATGCTAGCCCCCTATGCCACATACAGAGCAAGCCCCAGAGTGGGGCTAGAATGAGCTGGACTAACCATGAGTGCACAGGGGGGGCAGCACAGGGAGAGCACTGCATGTTGCACCATGCTGGACCAGCCTTGTGCACTGGCTCTGATAGCCCAGTCTGGACTGGCCCTTGAGCTATGGCTCAGGGCTGGTCCAGCATGGGTGCTGCATACAGCATGTGCCCCAGACTGCCCTCTGTGCTGTGTGCAGTGCCCATGGCACCAGATCCAGCCCTGTGCACCAGACCAGCATCATTTGCCACATGCAATGTGCAGGGTCAGTCCAAGACCCAAAGGCCAGATCATATGGCTCCAGGACTGGATCTGGCCTGTGGGCCATATATTTGACCACAAATATTGTGGTCAATA